TGTGTGTGTGTGTGGATGTGGGGGGTTCCTCTGGGGATGGTGGCGGCAGCAGCAGCGCCGCGAACGTCTTCACCGACACATAGAGAGAGATATATGTGGGCGATGGGTGTGCCCATGTATCCAGCCACTTTTGAAGCGGCAGAAGCACCCATTCACATGCAGAATGACACATACACACAGAGAGAGAGAGAGAGAGAAACAAACACACACACACACACATATATATATACAGAGGCACATGCATACACACACACACACACACAGAATCTATATATATATATATATATATAGAGCACAGAGGGTGAAGATCCAAACAGCGTTGCGCACTGTGTATGCACAAACAATCGAAAGTTCTCCCCAGCACCATACCCCCGTTGTATAAGAAGTGCATATGTACATTGGCCCGCGATGCAGCTGGGGGCTTGCATGACTGGCATAAAGCCACAGGTGGTGAGAAAGGGGACAGAGACAAGAAGAGTGAAGGGGGAAAGGAAGAGGAGGAAACAAAGTAAGAGTGACACATCGGAAAAAAATACAGTCAATTAGAGGGAGAGTAGCCTCTTTATCAACTACATCTATATCACCTAACCGCCCCTTCCCCCTCTCTTGTGTACGCGTGTGTGTGTATGTGTGTGGGTGTATGTGTGTGGGTGTGTGTGTGTGTGTGTGTGTGTGTGTGTGTGTGTGTGTGTGTGGGCATACAACAGAGAGCCCTTGTCTATTCATTCGTGCTACTTCTGGTGTGTTCGTGGTGCATAATCGTTTGTCTCCTGCGCCCCATTTCTTCGCCTCTCACTTTCGTCCACTCCCCTCCCATGCTCCGCAGGTGTGGCAGGGCCTCGCGCCGGCACACCCGCTGGGAAAGGAAGAGGTGGGCGCAATGGCCCAAGAAGAAGGCACACCTGAAACGGTAAAGAAGGAGCGGAGTCGGGTACGCACATTCTGCCCACTGCACTTGAGATAAGAAAGCCATCCCTGTGATCGTTTTTCATTTCCTCACTCACACATACGCAAACACACACTCTCTCTCTCGCTTCCGACCGCCCTGCTGCAGGCCACAGTGTGAATGGTTACAGACTGGCCGACTGAGTGAGTGAGTTGATGAACGGAACAGGGAATAAGGTTTGCAACGAATCAAACGCGTCCACATCGCAGATGGATGCGAGAAGATGCCACACATATTCTGTGTTACATCGAATTGTCCTTCTACACATATATACGCCTTCTCACTCGCTCTCTCTCTTTCTCAGACGGTTGCCCGGTGTTAGGTTGCAACCTAATGCTGGACAAGACCAAGCTACAACAATGTCTGTGTGTATATATTGCCGAAGCTGTCCCCAAAGAGAAGCTTGCTGCTGGAGCCACTAGACATGCAGTACACAGGGGCCTTGCAGAACGTGCTGGTGCACTCTTCGCCATCTTTTAATTTGAGAATGTACACGAAGCGATTCGTGCAGGCTACAGCGATATAGTCAGTGAAGGGGCCGGGTGCAGCACATGACACCGTCCAGCCCAACTTTGCAACGCGGTACGTGCTGCGCATCTTGTTGGCAACATCCGCAACAGTAAGCCGAAGCTTGCACGTCCCGTTGGCTGTCGACCACACGCAGAGAATACTCTCGTCGTTGCTAATGATGTGTTTTCCGTCGGAGGTGTAACTGCATGCCAAGACGATGCCGACGTGGCCCTGCAGCGTCAGGTGTGTCTTGCCAGTCGTTGCCGACCACACACGCAGTGTACGGTCCGCAGATGCGCTGCACACGTACGCCCCGTCGGGGCTGTACGCCACGCTAACGATGATACCGGCGTGCTGGCTGAACACCAGCCGCTCCTTCGCCTGACGTATGTCCCACACTCGGCAAATGCGGTCCTGGCACCCCGATATTACCGTCTTGCTATCTGGGCTAAAGCAGCAGCAGATGACCACCTTATCATGCTGCAGCACGTATAGAAGCTTTGTAATGGTTGCGTCCCATAATGTCATGGTATGATCCTTGCTGGTCGTCGCCAGGTACTTGCCGTCTGGCGAGAGTGCGGTACATATGACGGTGTCGTGGTGGCCGGTGAAGATGCCCTCTTCCTGCCCCGTCACTAGGTTGCGCATCGTCACAGACGCCTCCTCGCTCGAGCAGCTCACGAAGCTAAGCTCATTGGACGATACAGCGATGCACTTCACGCGAGCCGAGTGGCCAATGAGTGTTCCGACATTGAAGTCGCGTAGCTTGCGAGATGACTTCTTCCGCATCGCGCCCCCACCCGACCGCTCCATGGCAGCCACCGTGTTGGGCAGCGTACTGAACGTCCGCGTCACCGTCGCGCCAATGAGTAGCTGCTGCAGTGCACTATGACGGATGGACAGCCGGTGCTCCTCGCCGGTGCCCGTCTCCTGATTCACCGTCACGTCCATCTCGTCCACGCAGACGTTGAAGTCGGTGAAGTGGAACAGTGTGCGCCCCTTCACGCCAGTAACAATGTCAGACGATGGCCGCCTCAGTGTCGCCGCCTGCGGCTTGCGCCCCTCAATGCGCCAGTGCTTCGTCTGCGCCTCGTTCTTCGACACGACAGCATCATCGTAGACGAAGAAGTCCTCCTCGATGGAGAGCGGCACCTCTAGCCGCTGCCGCCCCAAGTCATCCGACCTGAACAGTGCGTGTCCGCTGGGGGTCGTGTCCACGGCGCTATTCCGTGCGGAGGGCGGTGCGGTGATGTCGGACAGCTCCTCAGAATCATCATGCCGTACGGATTTCAAATTGTTACCTGTAACCCGACCCCCCGAAGCATTCCCTCGCATCTTGCGCTTGAAGAAGTGGGAGCTCGACAGGAACGTATTTTCGTTGGTAGGAGCATTATCGCCAGCAAAACTGCCGTTGCCGGCCACGTACATTGTGCTGGCCCCGCAGCCCATGCGTCTCCGTCACTAATACTCCTCTCTTCTTGTTCTTATTACCGGAGTAGACGGTGCTGTTGGTGTGAAGGAAAAGGAATAGAGGGCAACGGAGGGAGAAAGCCCACACCCACTCTCCTTTTACTCTCTCTCTCTCTCTCTCTATATATATATATATATACTTCCTATGCGCAACAGCCTGTTTTGCTTCTTGGTGTACTCTTCGTTGCCTTGTATATATATATATATATATATATAGATATGGTATAAACCTTTTTTTTTGTTCTTACGCGTGTGATGCGCTCAACCTCCTCCCGGGGACGTGTTAACCGCCCCCCCCCCTTCTCTCTCACCCTCGCAGCAGACAGACCAAAAAGCAACAGAGACGGGAGAAGACAACTATATAGAGCACACATCAAATAGAGCATGGTAGAGACAACGGGGTTAGGGTCACTGTCACCGGCAATTGCATGGTCAAACAGCATCAGCGGAAGGTCATCCCGCTATGTACCCTTTTCTCTTTTCCCTGCAGTTTGTTGTCTTGTCCCCTCTTTGAAATAAATAAATTTAAAAAAAGGAAAAAGGGGACCCCACGTATGTAGAATCAAGCAGTGTGGGGAGAAACGTGGTGGGCTGCTGCTTTCTTGTTGTTGTTGCTGTTCTCTTCGCTGCTTTCACACTTTAATAAACTTGTCTAAATAGTCCATCTAGAGCGGACACCGCAAATTAAGCGGGGATGATTTGCACATTTTCTTTTTCTTTTTTTTTGGCTCTCACCCTTCCTTTTAGCTTTCCTTTCCATTGTTTTTCCTTGACCCGCGCCTCGGAGCTCCGCCGTTTGTATATTTTCCTTTTTGGCTTTTGTTTTTTGTCTTCTTGCGCACATGATATGGGTGAGAGGGCGTGAGTCTATCGTCCCCTGAGGCCAGGGAGGGAGGGGAGGGGTGTAATCAAAGCGTACCCTCGCACCCGCACTGCAGACGGCTGCCGCTGGATTCCCCTACAGCTCGCGGTTCTGGATAAGCTCGCAGAGAATGTCTTTTGTGTACCGCAGCCGAGCGGCGATCTCACTCGAGCGGGACGTCACCGCCGAGAGCGCCATCGTGACACGGCGGCCATTGGCGTCCGTGTACGTCACGATGCGCGACTCGGAGCTGAGGATCACCTCCGCCTTGTCGTGGAAGCAGACCTGAATAGTCTTGTTTGACAGACGGAAGATCATTGCCTGAGGCGTCAGAAGCCAGCGCTTGACGTACACGATATCCTCGATCATGTGTGGCTCGCTGAGCAGCACCGGAGCTTGTGAAATGTATGGCGAGCAGCGTACCACGTCAACACCCTCCCGCACGCTGCGGGCACGCGTCAGGTACGATTTGAAGTACTTGATCAACGTCACCTTCTTGTTAAGGCTCTCGGGGAATGTCTCCATGTGAAATGCCTGGCGCTGGTCCCGTGCGTGCACTACGTTGGTGCCATTGCGTGTGACGGTCTCCTTAATGCGCGCGTAGTACTCAACGCGGCCTGTGATGGGCTCCCAGACCATCTTGGTGGAGTCGTTGTAGTGCACCCCGGTGTGACCCGTGTTGAGGCGGTAGCACAACCCATACTTGGCGGAGAAGTCGGCGTAGTCCGTCACCCACACAGGCGGCAACGGGAATTTGCAGGACGCCTTCTCATCTTCCTCCTCCGTCATCGTCGTTGGACCAGCTGCAGGTGTCGAGGCATGCACGTACGGCTTCTCGCGGCCTTGGTGCTCTACCGCCTCGAGCAGTGTCTGATGCAGATGGTCGTGGACAGCCGTGAGGTGATTCTTTTCCTCCTCATCTAGCTGGTACTGTGATGCGCGTGGATTTGACGACGCCGTGTCAACCTCGGGTGTCTCGTATTGTGACGGGCGAACGGCGTCTTGGCGGGGCGCCCCACCAAACAAGACGTTGTTGCTGGCGTGCCTGCTTAAAACGTTGTTATGAGGGGCACCACTGCCAAGAGGAGCCGGGGATGGGGTGGTGGACTGTGGCGCGTAGCGTGATGTTGGCATGGTGTTGGTGCTGATCGGCCGCAGCACCTCGCGCCGTCCCTGCGAAATAGGCACAACCTCCGCACACAGAGGGGTTCCGAAAGCACCTTCCAATTCCTTCCGTTGCAGCGGCTGCTGCCGCTGATACGGTTGCTGCTCTTGGTGCTGCTTCTGCTGCTGGTTCGGGTGTTGTTGTTGTTGTTGTTGTAGTTGTTGCTGATCCTGCCCCTCGCCTTCTATGCGGCGGCGGGAGGTGGAAAACAGCGAGAGCGGTGCGGTAACAGGTGGGGTTGGGTTGCGGAAGAATGGGTGGGTGCGGATCTCTATTAGTGTCGGTCGGTGATCGGGACGGCTCTGCAGAATGCAGTGGATGAGGTCCTTGCCGCTCTCCGGCACTACCACACGTGGGGGAAACTCATAACGGCACTGCTTGATGCGGCGGTACGTTGCCTTCACATCGGAGGTCTGGAACGGCGGCTCTCCAACCAGCAGCGTGTAGAGAATGACACCGAGGGACCAGATGTCTACCTCGTAGCTGTGGCCCTCGCGCGATCCCTCAATAATTTCAGGTGCAATGTAGTTTGGTGTGCCGCAGATGGTGCGCTTCCTCTCGCCATCGTACTGCAACTCGGCGGCGAGACCAAAGTCTCCAACCTTTACATTCATATCAGCGTCCATCATCATGTTGCCCAGCTTGAGGTCTCGGTGGATGATGCACTGATCGTGCATGTACTGAATCGCGGAGAGAGACTGCAGCATGATGTACTGCGTCTCAGGCACGCTAAAGCGTGGGCGGCGCTTTGATAGCTCCATGAGTGTCTGGTTGCTGCACTTCTCCAGCAGGATGTACACGTTCCAGTCGTCCTGAAAGGTTCGGATGAAGTTGACGATGTTCTTATGCTTCATTCGGCGGTGAATAGAGATCTCCGAGTGTAACTTCTGCAACGTCTTTGTCCTCTGCAGGATGGAGCGCTCAATGACCTTGAGGGCGTACGACATGGCATCCTGCTCCACCTCATAGCACTTTGCGAAGCCGCCGCGGCCCAGAAGTTTGCCGCAGCGGAAGCGGCCCACAACGCGGCCCTGCTTGTCATATTCCTTCAACATCGATCCCTCCCGGAAGTCCGGCTTGTCGGTGAGCGGCATCCGGGAGACGGGGAAGCGCTGCGCCGGCGTCACCGGCGGCGGCTGTGGAATGGCCTGTGCTCCCATCATTGTCGTTTGTTGTTGTCTTCTTTGTTGGGGAGGAAAGGGGCGCACGTGCGGCGACACGGAGAGTCAGAGACTGTTGGTAATTGTATGTGTGTTTGTGGCAGCCCTACAAGTGGAGGTGCAGCCACAAGGGTCTATTGAAAATGCGCAGAAACGGTGAGGGAAAAGCAAAGATATGTATGTACGTCTTTGAATTCGCCTCTCTCCCTTTCGCACCCGCTCCTGTTTTCTGTCTAAAAGTGTGAACGTTGAAGAAAGTGAGATACTATCTATCTAAGCCGATGCGATCTACTCTCTGTAAGCTTGTTGTGATTCTCTCGCCAATGTGTCTTTGTGTCCTCTTTACTTCTTCTCTTAGAGCGTGGCACCGCTGAGTGTGCGAAGCAACACGCAGAGCAGGAAGGAAAGAAAGTGAGTGAGATAGAGAGTGAGAAAGAGAGAGAGGTGCGCAAATGCGAAATCACTGCGCAAAGCAGCAGTGGTGCGAGGACGCACGCACACACGCTGCGAGGGACAGTGTGAGTGATGGGGGGTAGGCGCACCACCGAGACAGGCGCCAACCTTGCGACAGCACACGAGCCACCCTGCGAACAAAGAGGGGGAATGATTGATAGAGTGGAGCGTGTTTGTTTGGGGATTTCGATTTTGCTTTGTTTCTTTTTTTTTATTCCTCTCTCTCTCTCTTTCTCTCTCTCTCTCTCGGGAATTTCCTTCGCGTGTGCGTACGTGTGTGAGCTCTGTGCGTTTGGCCTGGATGTATATATAAAGACATAAATATATGTAGACCTGCGCGGGGTGGTCGGCCGCTGGTCATCTGCGCCGCACCCGCCCTGCCGCAGAGCGTCGCACGCCTCGCGGGAGAGGAGGCGCAGGAGGCAGCGGGGGGCCGCGGCGAGAGGCATGAGTTACAACAACCCACGCTCCGGAGCAGGGAAATGGCACGCACAAAACACACACACACTTCTCCGGAAAGAGAATGAGAAAGCGAAAAAAAGGGAAGGTGGAACATATTGAGAAAACAAAGAGCATTTCAATAGCTTGAGTCAATGGCGCCGCCTGTCCACTGCCCAGTCGCACGTCTTACTGGTCAGCCCCCCTACGTGATTTGCGCCACGTTGATCCTACCGCAGGCGATGCACCGCCCCCCGCCCATTCCGCAGACGATGTGACCGTCTGCGCACCAACCACGTCCATTGTGTCGGTGTTCGCAGAGGCGAAACCGTACGCTCCTACACCCGCCGCCGGAGATGTCAATTCCTCCGCAAAAACAAAGGTGTGATGCAGACCACTCTTCACATTCGTAACGTTCAGATCATTTAGCGACGGCACAAGGCGGAACTGGCGACATACTTTCCCTTCTTGTGGCTTTGCGCAGCTGCTGGGTCCGCCGCTGCCAGCGCCGCCATTCCCCGACCGTGCCGTCTCGCCAAATGTGAACACCTGCCCGTGTGGGGCTCTCGACCTGCCGTTGTGGTCCAGCTTGCAGCATGAACGCTGGCACCACGACTGTGGGCCCTGCATCACTACAACAGTATGCTGGCGGCCGCAGGAGATCGCTTTGGCAACACCGCCGGCAACAAACTCGAGGTTCACAACGCGATACGGCGACGTCACAGTGTCGACATTTGACTTCGCCCCACACTGGCCTCCAGCGTTGTCGCCCCAGCAGTACACCACACCGCGGTCCGTCAGCGCAACGGTGTGGAATGAGCCGCACGCGACATCCACGACGCGCTGACCGGTGAGGGCGCCACGCACTTTTGTCGGCACTAGTGCCGGCTCCTTGTCGCCGTGGCCCAGGCGCCCTTGGTAACCGACGCCCCACGTGAAAAGCTCACCGGCGGTGTTGATCGCCCCGCTGTGCCACTGCCCGGCATGCACGCGCACGAGCTTGTAGTCTGTCGGCACCTCCACCGCCTGCGGCACGAGCACCACCGTCCGCTTCTCGGTGCTGAGCGACTCACTGATGATGGCGGGGTCGCTAATGGAGGCACGCACCTTCTCCGTCGGCCCCAGCCCCAGACACTCCAACAGGCCCCAGCTGTACAAGGTGCCATCGTCGCCGAGCGCCAAACTAAAAAAGCTACCGCAACTTAGTTGTACAATGCGTTTCCCCTCAAGAGTCCCTACCAGCGTCGGCTCCTCCACCTTACGCATCGAGTAGTGAAAGTAGCGCGGCCCCAGCCCGCTCTGTCCGTGGTTGTTGTTGCCCCAGAAGTACACGTGATGGTCCGCCGTTAGAGCCATGGCGTACGCGTACCCAGCAGCAATGCGCACCGCCGGCTGGCGCTCGAACAATGGAATGCGCTGCGGCACCGTTACAACCATCGACTTGTCATCTGGGTGCTCCTCGAGCTCGAAAGGGCCACCAAGTCCCAATTGCCCCCAGTCGCCGTTGCCGAATGTGTAGATGTTTCCGTCATCCGAGAGCGCGCAGCTGTAGTTGGCGCCGAGAGCAACGTCTACGACACGCACCCCGAAAGGAGTGATCTGCACCTGTGTCGGTGTGATGTAGTCCTGGAAGCGCTGTGTGCCCAGCTCCCCCGAGGCACCAGATCCCCAGCTGTACAGCAGCTGTCGTCTCGTGTGCCGCTCTGGCGCGAGCTGCCGCATCACGCCTTGCAGGTTCAAGTACTCCGCAACGGCAAGTACGCCAGAGGCAGGAACACCGGGCGGAATTATCAGCACCTTGTGCCGCAGATAGTTCAGTATGGGACCAAAGTACAGCGGGTCAAGGTCAAGCAACATGGCGCAGTCTGAGTCCTTGTCAACAGGGGCTATGTGTTCAAGCTCGGCTTGTACCAGCACTGCAAGCATGCTGCCACGGTCGGAGCACAGCGTGGAGAGAGTTGTGGTGAAGCAAGTCCCACCAACGTTCAGCTTCACCCAATCCCGCCGGCGCGGGACGATGTCACCTTTCGGCGTGATTCTGTCATAATTGATGTGGCCGCCCGCAGAGCTGCTGCTGCTGCTGCTCTCGTCGTCGGAGGCACGCCCCGCAGCAAGATTGTTTGGGTCTACGTGCATGCTCTGCGGTTGCCTGTATTGCGCTCACTTGCACGCAAATGCACGCACACGTCGTTTTCCTTCGTGCGAATTATGTCTTATTTGTTTCTTTCTAGGGGTGTATTGTAGGTGGGTGTATATATCTCCGTATGTGGGTGGATGTATGTATGTGTGTGTGTGTGTGTGTGTGCCACCCGGGTGTGGATGCGCCGCGCCTCTCCACGAAATTGGATTCTTGGACGAGACGGAGAAACAAGAAGGCAGCCCACCCCGCGAGAGAGACAGGGAGAGACAGGGGGGAGAGAGAGAGAGAGGCACAAGAAGCATGCGGCACAGCGCAAGCAGTCCGCCCAGCAAGGATCAAAAACCGAACAAGAGGCAGAGATTCGTCGGCGTCCCCATATATGTTCACACATCACAGCAGCAAGGATGCACTCGCTGCGGCGCATGAGGGAATGCCGCTGTGCGACCGATGTTCCCAACAGTCACCCCAGCCGTGTTTGCGTCCGCCCCCTCCACACACGCAGACGCATTCCCGCCGCGCCCACACCTTTCGGTGCCTCATATAGCCTCCGGCAAACGAAAGAAAAAAAAACTGCAATGGCAGTAACGGCGCAAGAACGAAAAGAAAAAAAAAAGAAAGAGAAACATAAACATACAAGCAAAATGAGTGTCAAGCCCGGTGATTGAAGTGAAACCGTCTAAACCCCGGCACCGGGTTCCGGTCTCATCCTGCCATCATCATCATCATCACCATCAGCACTACCTGTCGCAATTGTGTTTTGTATCCATGCGAGTGTTTACTCGTGTTTGTTCGTGCCTCGTTTGAGTGGTATGTATAAGAATAGATGTATGTATATATGCGTGTATATACATGCATACATGTTTTGTTTTGTTGTTTTTTTCCTGTATGTGTTTGTTTGCTTGTTTATTTTTGGTGCTGTTTTGCGAAGGTGTGCCGCATTGCAATAGGCGGCCCGCAGCAGCGGTGGAAAAAGGAGAAGCAGTAAGGCTCACGGCACCATTCATGTGGGGGCATGAGCGCAAGCACGGCAACCACACACCCCTCACCCTCACCCACATCGTCATCCATTCGTATCTTCGCTTCCTGTTCACCACCACACCATCCATTCTCACTCTCGCACCCTCCCACACGCACACGCACACACACGCACTCTCTCTCTATCTCTCTCTCTCTCTCCCATTCTTCCCACCAGTTGGCACGGCCAGGAACGCACATAAATGCCATAGGCCAACTGCAATCCAAGAGAGAGTGAAGTTTTCCTCGCCACGTCCATCCGAGTCTTCAGCCCTCCCGCCACTTCCCGTGTCTTTCTGCCGTGTTCTTGCTTCATCGCATTTGCGCACTATACATTGGCAAACGAGTGAGGCGCGTTTTTTTTTACCGTCGTGTACATTCATCACACCAAAAGCACTTGACTTCACTCCGTTTGTCTGTCTTTTCGTTTGTTTGTTTGTTTGTTTTTTACTGTCNGTATACGCTCCTCTTGATCTCCTAGTAGTCCTCCTCGCTGTCCCTCTCCTGCCCCTGCTGCTCCCGCAGTTCCTTAAGCTGTTTCTGCTGCTTGTGGTATGTGATGGCCTGCTGGAGCAACTTCTGGTACTCCTGCTCGCTCGCATCCTTCTCGCGCAGGATCCGCTCCTGCTCCCGCAGCAGCATGGAGAACTTGTCCTTCGACGAAAGGATCTGCGCGCCGCCCGGGCTGCTGCTGAGCTGCATCACAACCTCGTCCTTCGCCTTCCTTCCCTCAGGCATGGTGAACTTAACGACGCGAATGCCGTTGCTGCCGCTCGGGCCCATCGTGGACGACGAGCCGGCCGTCATGGACTGCTTCGTGGACGACGCGCTGCGTGGACTAATGACAGGTAGCGACTGCGCGTCGGCCCCTCCAGGCCGAGCAGCCTTGATGCGCTGCAGCTCCTCGAGATACTTCTCCGCCTCCCTAATCAACTCATCGTGTCTTGCACGGCTTAACATACTCTGTTGCTCCATCGCCCGCTGCTCCTCCAGCATCTCCTGTAGACGCTGCTTGCTGTTCAACTTGCCTGCTTCCTGCGTTGGCGTGATGGACCTGGCCCCCCTGCTGTTGTTGTTGGTGTTGCCGGTCGTGTTCGCTCCTGCGTGGCTGGTCTTCTCCACCACCCGTGGCAACTTCGTCGCGTCACCGTCGTTCTTGCCGTTGGGGCAGCTGTCCCTCTCAGGCTGCAGTGACTTCGCTGACGCGGAGGAGACAAGTATGCTGGGCCGTCGCGCCTCCTCCCCGGCGTCGCCGAGGATCGGCTGATGCCTCGCCTCCTGCGAGCGCGAGGCCTCCAGCACATGCACGCTGCTCACCTTCCGCAAGGAGTTGACGCTGCTGGGTCGCTCTGTTGTCTCCGCATCCTTCACCACGACGCTCGGCTTACGAGAGCCCGACGACGACGACGACGACGACGACGATGTCACGTACGACACTGACGGGCGCGCCGGATCTTTCGTCTCACGCGACGCGTCTGGCGGATGCGGCTTCACGGAGTGCGTGGGAAGCTTCTTCAGAGCCGCGGGGGCAGGGGCATTAGGGTGGGAATGCGGCGTGGCGCTCTTGCCCGTGGTAGCCTGTCGCGTGGCGCCGCTAGGCGTACTGGCGGTGTTTGCCTCCGCCGCCGTCGGCGTTGTCGAGGTGGCAGCGGCGTGGCAGTGGCCCTGCACATCCTCTGGGCGTGCAGTGTTGCTCATCTCGTCAATATTGTCTTCGCTCTCCCTTTCCTGCTGTAGGTGTTGTTGTTCCTGCTCTTGCTTCTGCTTCTGTTGCGAGTTGCTGCTGCTTCCGCTGCTGCTGTTGGCCAGTGGGGTCGAGCCTCTCGCATTGACACGCTTTGATGGTGAGTGCGGGCGCGGCGGCGGGAACGGTTTCGGCGGCTCTGCTGGGTGCTCGGCGGGCTCGCCCTCGAGCAGCAGCTCGTCCTCCGCCCCACGCACCACAATACTCACGTTTCTGGTCCGCACAGGGGTGCCGTTGTTGCTCGATTGCACTTCCGGCAGTAATTCAACCACAACACGTGCGTTGTGCACGTCGTGCTGGGCGAGCACGTCGCGAATCGCAGGGATGAGGGCGTGAGTCGAGCAAGGCATTTTTTTTTGTTTGCGGTGCTGCAAGTATCTGTTGTGCAGTGAGAAACAAAGAGGGGGGGGAAGCGAAGAGGGGGGTCGCATTGCCTAGGCACATGTACACATGCTTACACCATCACCCACCCGCGCATACGGATACAAAAGAAAAAAACGGTTTCACCTTCTTGTACTCTACGCGGTGTCGCGTCGATCATGCGTTCTGCGCGAGCAGGAATGACTTTCGCATCTAACCAATACTCGCAAACACACAAACACACACACATATATATATATGTGTATAAACTTTGCTACATCCCACTCCCCCTGTTCCACCCCCTTGGTTCTGGCCCCAACACAAGTCCCTAATACTACACACGCTATTTCATCTACTTCTTCCCAGGAGCAGCAGCAGCAGCAGCAGCAGGTGGCTCCGGCTTAGTGTCAAGATCCCTACAGTACGGCTTTGGCGGCTCCTTGAAGAAGATAGATGTCCTGCCACCCGGCGGCTCCGCCCACTTGCGGTCGGCACGCTGCGTTCCCACCTTAAACGGCCGGCCCTCGCGCAGGCACTCAATGAGCTGCTTCACTCCGTCCCATGTGAGGTCCTCTACGAAGTCGTAGGAGAAGTGAGGCGGGCGGCTGTAGTCGCTCACGACGAGCATCGGGGCGTTGACGCAGGCGCCGAGGCACTCCATCTCACCGAGCGTAATGAGGCCGTCCTTCGTCGTGCCGTTCATCTTGATGTTCAGGTACGCCTCCGTGCGGTGGATGAGGTCGTCGCAGCCGCACAGCAGGCACGGCGTCGTGACGCAGAACTGCACGTGGTACTTCCCGACTGGCTGGCGGTTGAACATAGAATAGAACGTCACCGTCTCGAAGACATGCATCGGCGGCACCTCGCAGATGCGGGCGATTTTGTACATTGCCGTGACGGGGATGTAGCCGCCCTGCTGACGCTGCGCGAGGTGCAGGAGCGGGATTACTGCGCTCTTGCGTCGGCTCCTCGGAAACTTGGGCAAAATGACGTTGTTGATCTCCTCGTAGCTCGCCATGGTGAAGTCCCACGGGATGCGGGTGTTGTTCGTGTCGGTGTTGTGGTGCCGCATCTCACCGTGGATGCAGCGGCGGCCGGCGGCGCACCCCCACACAGCAGCAGCAGCAGCAGCGGCGGAGGCGTTCGGCAGAGCAGCAACCGCACGACGCCACATCTACGCAGGCACACACTACACAAAACACACACTTACCTATCGTTATCGCTACCAGCACTAGCAACTCTCACCCGAAATCACTTCGCTCACTCGCACTCACACTCACACACCCACAGACACTCCCACACCTTTGTACTTCGCACATGCAGACGCGTGCGTGTGTAGTTGTAGGGGGGAAAAGGCAAGCGAAGACGGCAGCAACGACAAAACAAAACAGGGAGAACAGTCACGCCGACAGACTCGGAGAAAATGAACAGCAGCAGCAGGGGGGGAGGGGGCAACTGTACGCCACAGCGGCATACANCACACACACAGACACAGACACACACAAAAGCGTGTTCCCTATCCTCCTCTTCACTGCCGATCAGGCATCAAGGCGGGGTGTGCAACCTCATTCCCTCCGCCCTCCTGCGCGCCCATTCTATCTCCTGCCGGTCGCACAGTGCCACCACCTCCCGCGCGGCAGGTGGCGGTGCGGCGAATTGAAACAGAGGAACAACAAAAACAAAAACAGTAAAAACAAAAACAAAAAAAGTCAGCGGAAGAGAACCGCCACATCTATTTGGTAACGCAAAGGCGGCGAGGGGAGATCTGTGCGTGCATGCGTGTCCTCTCTTTCTCTCTCTGTTTTTTTTTTTTCTCTCTCGCTCTCTCTCTTTCTATATATATATGTATATATACCTGCCGCAAAGAAAATGAAAAGAGCGGGTGTCAAACTTTTTATTGTGTGGCACAATAGTGGGGGACGCGCCGGAGCGCGGAGTCAAGCAAGCATGAAGAGAGCCGCGACAAAAGCGCACCATTCAACTTCTGCTGCTGCTGCTGCTGCTTCCCCCCACCATCTCCCCTCCCACGCTGTGGCAATGGCATCCGCTGCACCGTTCGGGTCAGAAACTATTTATATCTGTCTCCCCCGCATCATCACTCCCACACGCGCCCCTCACTCCTCACCTTCTCCCACGGCGCCCTTCTCTCACGATGCCCGCTTGGACTTCTTGATGATTTTCTTCTCGAGGCTCTTGTGGACGAACGGCACGACGCCGCCACGGGCGATGGTGGCGTTCACTATCTGGTTGAGCTCCTCGTCACCGCGGATGGCCAGCAGCAGGTGGCGCGGCTTGATGCGCTCCGTCTTCTGCGTCTTCGCCGCCGCGCCCGCCAGCTCAATGACCTCCGACGTGAGGTACTCGAGCAGCGCGGCGCAGTAAATGGCGGCGGAGGCGCCGCAGCGCTGCTTGCGGTTCAGCCCATCCTTCAGGCGCGAGTGGATGCGACCGACGGGGAAGTTGAGATCCGCGCGGGCGGCGCGGGACATCTTGTCACGCTTTCCTGCCTTGCCACCCGTCTTGCCACCACGCTTACCCTTGCCCTTGCCCTTTCCCTTGCCGCGTGCTGCTGTCGCCTTGCCGCCGTGCTTGCCACCAGACACAATGCTCGTCTGATCGGCAGTCGCCGAGCCCGGCCCCATCATGGGGTTCTGCTGCAGCGGGTCCTCACCAGTTAATGACATGCTTGCCTTTCGCTCTGGGTCTGTGTACGTACGGAGTGTACGGGTGTTTTGTTCTGTGTGCGACGGAGAGGCCTAATTTTTTCCTCGAGGCTCCTTTACTCTCACATGAGAAGAAAGAAAGGAGAAAAGAAAGCAGAGAAATAAAAAAAAAGGAGCCAATATAAGCATATGCTTGCTAAAAGAGTGTGTTCTCGAGTGCCCTTGCGTGAGTAATCTCGGTCGTAAGGCTAAACGAAGGCATCCATACGTGCATATCACCCCCACTCATTCACACTGCTGCTTCTGCTGTTTCCGCCCCCGCACACTCAGCACAGAGCAGCGCGCCGGAAACACCGCATACTCTGGCGCCTGTCAGCATTGCACATGGGTAATGGTAAGCCTTCTGCTGGCAGCAGCGGCACAGCAGCAGACACCTCCCTGCGCTCCGCCCACAAGAGGCACACGCTGTCACTCCGCCCGCAGAGCACAGCTTCTGAAACTGCATGTCTGAAACATGCACCGCCACCGTCGTGGCGCCAGCGACGCGCTCCTGAAGCAAGCACGACTCTAGGCACGCCTGATGCACCAGCAGCAGCAGCGGTGACGGTTGTGGTGACATGTCTGGCGATGTCGTCGTCTCACTTCGGCCGCGCTTTCGCTGCCCGCCGCCCGACGTGCCCGCCACACACTCTGTGTCAAGTCGTATTTGCCACATGGGACCAAGGCACTCAAAAAGCGTCGCTTCGTTCAGCTGCCGCACACGGCTCTTGTCGCACAAAGGGTCTGTGTCGAGCAACTTCCGCAGGTATCGCCGCATTATGGCGCGGTTCCTGATGTCAAGTCCGCACAACTTGCAGCACCCGCTGTGCGCATTGGCCCCCTCGGCGGGGTCGCTGCTGGTGTGGCGAAGCGCCACAAACTGCGGGGCTCTCCTCGGGGTGGGGCTCACCGGCTGCACGCGCTGCGTCTCTGTGTCATCCCATGCCACGTCATACGTCTCTACTGCTCTGGGTAGGAGAGGCGTGCGCAGCAGCTGCGTATGCGGCACGCTTGTGTCACGCCCAACGACTGACGTGCTCCGCGCCTTCGCAGCACCGTCGCTTGCCATAGATGGCCGCGTTGGTGTGGTGCAGCTGCCGACAGCAGAAGCAGCAACAACAACGGTTGGTGCGGGCTCGCCCTCCAGAAGCTGCAGCGGTGGCAAAACACCTTGCTGCAGCTGCCGCAGCGACTCGGCAATATCGCGAACCAACGCTGTGAGGGCGGTGACAGTCGGCAGCGGGGCGCTCGCACGTCTGCTCGCGACACCGTGGTTGCAGAGTGGGCAGTGCGGCCGCCCGGCCACGCAGCGCTCGGCACACGCCCGGCAGAAGACGTGGCCGCACGGAAATGCCACCGGGTTGTGAAAAAGATCGTAGCATACAGAGCACACAAGTGTCTTATGGGCGATGTGAAGTAGGGCACGGACAGCCATCGCTCCTTTCGCTCGCACACTCACTCTCTCCCTCTCACACACACTCACACGGACGCTGTTTGGCCCAATCAGGCTTTATTTGTTGTCACCGTGGGGTGCCGCATATACAGAACCCCACGAGTCCACTCTCACGCGCTCTACACTTTGCAGGTGGAATATGAACAACAATGAAAACAAAAAAAGGAGAAATTCAGTGTTAAGTGCGTACAGGTGCATCCCTCATTGCCTCCCTCTGTGTGTATGCGTGTGTTTGTGTGTGATTGCTCCAAGAAGCTCACGTATCAATGAGAAGGAGGCCACAGGACAACAAAGTGAAAGACGCAACGACAGCAGGAGCATCACGACGCAGCCCCAGTTCGCCTTGCCCTTTTCGGCCTTGTCTTGCCTCCGCCATTCTCCCCGTTAACCACCGCCTTCGTCCCCAATCGTAGGCGTTGCCGGCGTTCTATGCGATTCTTCTGCCGCTCCATGTTAATCTGCCGTTTAACCTTTACCGCCATAGACTTGAACGCAGACTTCAGGGTGGCAGCAGCACCACCACCAGCCTTATTGTTGTTACTGCTGGTCGTGGGGCTACTGGCAGACCCCTCGTCTTGGAGGAACCGCAGCATAAACAGGTTGCTGCTGCGGATGAAGACGGAGCCAACGTATCGCCGCCGCGTTGCAGGGCTCGCCGCGGGCGCGGGAAAACCCTGCGCTGCCAACAGCGCACGCTCCACGTCGCAGAGGCGGTCACGCCACGATGTCGCCTCCGCGAGGCTCACGTTGTAGTCGTCGTCCAGCACGACAAGCTTCCCCTCGTACACGTAACCCTGTCGCGTCTCCACCTCCACGCGGAGCAACAGCGGTGGCTGCTGTGGTGGTGGTGGTGGTGGCGTCTGGCGCAGCGCGTCCGTTGCAGCGTTGCTGCCGAACTGCTGAGCGATGGCCTGCTGGATAACAATGGCTGGCAGCAGGCCACGTTGAGGGGTCGCCTCCGTGGACATTTCCACCCTTCCCTGGTACCTCCACTCACGATGAGAGAAGACAAAAACGAGCAAGCACAGAGTGACTTCGAGAAATGCCCACAGAATAGAGGGGAAGAAACATCCACATCGCATGCCTCCGAGGAAGGAAACGCAGCTGTGGCGCTGCGCATTCACAAGTGAAATACACACACACACACACACAAACAGACTCACATAGACACATATATACAGATACACATGTGCACACATGACGGCACGAGTTAGAAAGGGGTCCTCACAGCCACCAATGAAGCAAGTGGTGAGGCGCACCAACACGTTGGTACATACACAGGTGGCGGTATGCGCTCACGTGTGTGCTGAACGATGTCCCACGGCTGAACCATGGCAAGGAAGAATCACTTAGCAATTGAATACAACAAAATGGGATGTATGGTGAGAAAAGAGGACTAAGTCCTGCCATTCTGTGCGTGTCTTGTTGTCACCACGTACGCGTTTGATCGCAGATCCAGAAAGCACTGCAGGAGGGGGTCGAACACAAACGGGCCGCCCGCAGTGTCGAGTGGCTGCGGGGTGTTGCCCACCTCATCAGGCCGCGGCAGTGGTGGCGGTAGTGATGGCGGCGCAACGGATGCAGCAGCAGAGGCAGGGGTCCCAGTACGTGTCACACGCACACTCCCACGTCTCTCGGCTGTATCAATATTGGTACTGTGGCAGTGGTGGTTATCTTTGCTGCTGGGTCTGCCGTTGGGAACACGTGCATTGTCAGTGCGCGGTAAGGGTATTGGTGACGGCACCGGCGACAGCGGCAGCAGGTTCGATTGTAGTGGCGGCGGCGACCGCGGTGGAAGTGATGCGACACGCGAGGATTGTATTGTGCCAGCGTCTTCGTCGTCGTCGTCACCACCACCGCCGCCGCCGCCACCCACGCGCGCACTGCCCAAGTGGATGAAGTGGCCGTTGCCCGCCGCCTCGGTCTTGCCCGCCACTGGCGGCCTCCGGTAGTCGGAGAGGCAGACGCTGCTGCCCTCCTCTTCCGCGCCGTGGTGACTTAACCGCAGCGAGTTGAGCGGCGTGTTGCTCGCTGTCATGTTGCAGCCCTGAAACTCCAGCAGGCTTGGCCTCAGCAATTCCTCATTAAACGGCATCACTTCCTGCTGGGGAATATGCTGAAGCTGCTGCCACTGGTTCTCTTGCTGCTGCGACTCCACCACGCACTCCCCTAGTCGTCCTCGGCGCGCCACAGCGTGCACCCTCCGTTCTCGCATCATCGCAGGAACGGAAACAGTAGCACCGGGTGAGGATGGGGCAGAGAGTTGCGGAGTATCATCCTCTGCTTGAATCGTCGCCCTGCGGAAGGACCACTCCATCGCAGTCTCCGTGGGCGTAGAGCTAAAGGAGATCCTGTCCACCGCATGTGCGGCTGAGCGGGGCAGTGGCACCGGAGGCTTCTGGTCAAGTGCGGTGGCCTCTGCCGGCACCACGACAGCCGGCCGCCCACAATCCTCGGACATGCACACGTTCACGGTGAAGCGCTCATCATCATCATCATCACCATCGTCGATGTCATCGTCGTCGCAGGTGGCGGTGCAAGTGCGGGTGGCATCAACAGTCGGAAAACATCTCCCGGAGTGCGGCGTCGGCGTGTGCGGAGCGGGTATCAAACCACATTTGTCAACGCCCAAAGNCTGCTGTGAATGGGGCCGCGGTGACAAGTGCAGACTTTTTTGTTGCTGATGATGGTGGTCCATGTCCCAGGGTTTGGCCGAACGGCGACCCGTGGCCGAGTGCAGCCGCGGCCTACCGTCGAGGCGGTCTTCATCTTTATTGCTGTCGTCCCCGCCCTTCTCACAGTCGCTGCCGTAATTTTGGCGCGTCGAGGCGCTGCTTTCCCCGTCCACCGCCTCCTCGCCGATCAGCGCCTGGATACGTTCAACACGCTCACGCATCAAGTCGAGTGTGCGCTGGTAGTTGGCAACAGTCCGTGTGTGTAATTTTGGTGTCATGTTGCTTTCCTCCTTCGAAGTGGTGTGCACCGTTGACGAATTTATTATTTTCATCTGCATCTGCTTCTCATCCTCATCCCTCACAGCTCTTGGCAACTGATCGAGGCGACGTGGCGATGTCGACTCAGCCACCCCTGCTTCTGGTGTTCGAGGCACGGTGCACCTTTCTATTCCACTAGCCTGCATCCGAGGCTGCCTCCCGCTGCCCGATACGAGGCGCTTGGCATCGCCACTGTGCATCGTCCCCACATGCCGCACATTGGCCGGTGTTCTCACGCCTCCAGACACTGTCCCTACTATCTGTAGCTCCCCTAGAATGTCGTTTGTCTGCACAGCAGCATGGTGTCTGCCGAAGACGCGGGAAGACGGCAGCTGCGTCCTCTCGTCGTGTATTTCTCTCTGTTGGCTGTCCGGGACGCGCACGCAACCCCACTGATGTCGTTGTTGTTGTTGTGACTGCTGTTGCTGCTGCTGTGCCTCGTCCGCCCGCAGACCCCTCCCGGTGACCCCCATTGGGTCACCATACGTGTCCCTTGCGCTCCAACCCGCATCCTGTCGATTCACGTATGCCTGGCTGGGTACTCCCACAGAGAGGCCTGAGTGCAGCGACGTAGCGTCGGATAAGATCTGAGAAAGACCCTCTGCCGACGCAGCCGAGAGCCTCTGCGCGCGCATGTTGTGTGCCGCTACGTGATCAGTATGAACGGGCCTTGCAGAGGGCTCTGCATCCTCCAATGGGCAAATAGGTTCGTCTGTACTCTCTGTTGTAGAAGTGGCACCCGCCGGTTGATTGTGCAGAAACGCCTCCTCGCATGTTCGTATAATCCAGGTGCTCATCGGCACCTCCGCGGGGAGGCGCAGCGACAACGGCCACTCTACTTCTGGTGATGTCATCATCGTCGTGTCACTCACCGTGGATGGAAGCTGCGGCATGCCAAGCACCCGCCGTACACGGCAGATGCAGCTGCAGCTTACGGTTACGTGCAGGAGCCTGCGCGACTGACTCAGCTCCGCATTTGAAAGGCGCCCACCGGAATTCCCGCACAAGGCCGCGTGGATGTTGGGCACATCGAATACGAAGTTTAACCACATTCCCGGCGAGGCGCAAAGCAACGGCACCTTCACGTGCTGAGCACACCGCTGTAACTTCTGGAAGCTACTACTGAAGACGATGCGGTGCCGTCCCAATTTGTCTTGGAGCACGAACTCCACTATAAGAGAAAATGCGGCGCGCGCAGACTCCTCGCAGAACAACTGCAAGACGATGATGCGTTGAGACGCAGCAGCTAAGGTACTGCTGCTGTTACTTTTTCCCCCTATGCGTGACGGTGTGCTACGCAGGAACGAAACTTGCGTGGAAGGTGCAATCTGCAGGAGCTGCGACCTTGTGCATTTGTCATAGTAGCGGCTAACACCACCTCCCTCGATGTGCAGCCCCGCCAACGGCTTTGATCCCTGTGGACTGTAAAGGACATAGGTCGGAACGGCGTCCCCCTTGGGGCTCCCCACAAGAGCGAGCGAGCTCATTGGGTGCACAAGTGATGAGACGCTAGTTTCTGGACCACTGCAGCAGCAATGAGAAGAGTGTTCAAAAAAGGGAAAGGGGAGAAAAGAGGAGTAATCAGTGTATTTGATAGCACTTTAAACAATTACCGGAGGGGATGAAGAACAAAAGAAAAAAAAAACGAGCCGCGGTACCATCGCCAATGCCCCACCACGTNTCGGTGGAGTGATAAACCACAACGCCCCAAGTCCCCTATTTAACAAGCGACGTCAGTGCGTGTGCATTTGTGAAGAATGCAGCACCCAGAAGTGCCATGCGTCACAGAAAGAACTGCGGGTACGCGTCCTGCAGCTCACGAGCGAGTTGGTCAGTCGTCCGCCTCCGCGGCAGCTGACCGCCACCCCCGATCACCACGCTTGCAGGCCTTTTCCGTCCAAACCTCGGCTCTTCCACATCGCCTCCAGCAGCAGCACCAGCGGCAAGAGCCACCTCCTCCCCGTCCCCCTCTGCCGGTGAGGCTGCGCCACCCTCGCCGTCGGTCACCGTCGCGTATGGCAGAAGGTGCAGATGCATCGCCTCCTCGATCTGCACGGCGTACCTCGCCACCGTCAGCTCTGTTCCTGCGCACCACGCCGCTCCCCTCCCCGCCGCCTCCATCGCCGTAAAGACGGCGTTGGGGCGGATGCCCGTCCCCGACACGACGCAGACCGCCTTGCGGCTTTCGCCGTCCACCAGCGTTGTCCTGTCAAAGGCGACGTACAGCCGACCAGCAGCCCAATGCCGCCGCCTGGCACTGCTGCTGCTGCGCGCAAACAACACGTCAAACACGGAGGCACCGCTCGGCTCACGTGTGGTGTGCATCACGTACCACAGCGTGTGCACCCACTCACCCACTCACGCACGCACTTACCCAAGCACACGCTCTCTCGCTCCCTCCCCCAAACAGGAACGCGGAGGAGGAGGAAGAGGAGTGAAGAAAGAAATAGGCAAAATAAGACCAATAAAACTGATCACGCCGATGCCGATAGTGAGGGCGAGGAAAAAAGAGCTGCACGGCTTTGTGTGCAACACACACACACACAAAGAGAGAGAGAGAGAGGGGGAGAGAGGTAAGTGGCTGGTTTGCGCCACCAGTGCTCCACCTCCTCTCAAGCAAAATGAAATAAGTGCCACGGAAGCATAGAGAGAAAGGGAGAGAGAACCAACAAAATAGAGACTCCGTGGTATCACCGGCCAGGCACCTGCAGAATTGTAGCCCACAGCGAATCTACAATCCGATGCACGTTGTGCTCGAGGCCCAAGAGAGCTGACTCCGTCGTGTCAGCGTTGAAGCACGCTATCACAATCGGAACACGCGTTTCTCTAGACTGTCCCGGGAGCCAAACACCTGCCTGCGCTGTTACCCTGCCAACAGCAGCAGCAGCATGCTGAGTGACAACACGGCATTGGCAGCCGAGAGTCAACTCAATGCATGACTCCACACGGCGCTTAGCGTTAAGGCGCGAGCAGTGTAGCCCCTCCTCCTTTAGCTGCTGCAGCAGCCTGAGGAGCTGTTGCAGCTCCCGTCTTGTGTGTTCATCTGTGTACTTCTCAATGGCCTCCGCTAGGAGCCGCGTCGATGCAAATAGAATCTGCTCTGCAGACGGTCTGCCTTCATCGTGCGAGCCAATGAGGCCGCTGTAATCCATGATGCGTTGATTCTCTAGTGCAAGGAGCACTGTTTCCACTGTGCGATTCTCCGAGGACACCCACGTGCGGGCGAAAAGTCGCACCCGCATCGGCAGCTCACTCTCCTGCTCCACCGCAACCTCGCGTCCACCCTCAAAGCGCAGACAGACTTTTCCACCCCACGCAGCGCCTAGTGCACCACAGCACGCGTGCCACAGACTTTTTCCGTAGTTTGTGGTGCTGTCCCACAAAGCAAAGCCGCCATCTTCGCCGCCCTTCTCCTCGCGACATCGCCGCATGCGGTCCAGGAGCGCATCAGCGGCATGGATGTAGGCGTCCACGCCGCGGTTTGCATGATGCACGAGGAGACCTGTCGGTTTCTCTGCAGGATTCTCCGCTGCTTGTCTCGCCTGTCGCGGCGTCACAGTGCAGCAGTACCCGCTACTAGCGCCCTCGTTTGGCGTCACAGTGAGTGTGAAGCCGGTGTGGCAGCCGAGCCGTGCCAAGTCATCGGGGCGGTGCAGCAGAGCGCAAAGGGCTTTGTGCCGCTCCATCTGTAAAAGAACATCAGGGAAGTTGGCGCGCAGCGCCTGCAGGGCCGCGGCGGCCCATGCCGTCCTCTTATTTCTGCCACGGCCAACACCAAGTGGAAACTGCGCCGCGCCCAGTGCGGCGTTTTCGTACTTCGCCAGCGCCGCCACGTACAGCAGGCAGACAACCTCACGGCTGCGTGCATCCACAGTGTACTCGCAGTAGTACTTTGCAGCCACGCCCTGCAGCACCTCGCCCAGCAGGTTGGCTGGGGTGTAGAAACGGGCTGAAAAATGTGGGAAATCATCACGCGGCAGCAACGGCGCGGCGTTCACGGCGGTTTGTAACGTCACTGCAACCTCTTCTTCCGTACGGCCAGCGTGCCGTAACGCCTCACCACATGCGACAGCAAGAGCCGGAATCACACCACGCGCCTTGGTTACGGCAGCGGCGCAGCGTATCTGGCGGAATGGCACCCGCACCTCCACGGCTCCCTCCACACAGGGCGACGTGGGATCGTTCGTCTGCACAAAGTATACCTTGGCCTGTGCATGCGTCACGCCCACCAGAGCATCCAGCAAGACAGACAGTTCTGAATCAGCACCGCCGGGCGATGCACTTAAGCAGCGAGAGCTGCGCTGCAACTCGGGACGCGGCGGAAAATGGTCCTGTGTGGGAATGTTGAGGGACACCGCGAGCTCGTTTACACGCCTGACGGCCTCCCCTAATGTTGGGGCGTGCGTCTCTGCGAACAGCACCCTCTGCCCGCAAAAGTCGTAGAAGAGCATTGCACGTATGATGTGGTTATCGATGTAGTGCGACAATGCACTCTCTGCAGCATCCAGGTGGTTCTGTGAAACTGCACTGGTAGCCGCCGTCAATCGCGCAGCGCGTGTACTGATCTCGAAGCACCGCACCTGTGACGGGGCCATAAACCACGAGTACATCAGAAAGTCAATCGCACGGCGTCGTGTGGGGGAGTTGAGCGCAATGACCGGCACTGTTGTGCGGTGTGGAAAGACACGCTTGTACATGCTGCGCACAACTGACAGAAGAAGCCTCAGTGGTCCTTCAAAATGAGGCGGCGGTTGTTTCTCCTCGTCGTGATATGACTGCTGCATGTCAAAGCGGAAGACACCACCATCTTCCCCCGCGCTCTTCGAACCACTCTCCACCTCCACACGCAGGTTCGGGCCCCAGTGTGCCACGACACGAGTGTAAACAGGCACATCACCGTGGAGCCCAACCGCAAGTTCCTGCACCCGCTTGGGGACGTCATGAGTCGCCCTCTGGAAGAACTCCAGCGTTGGGAACGACCTCTGCGGGAGGTGAAGGGCCAGCCGCATCTCCTGTATCATGAGAACGAGATCAGGGCAGTAATACGCAGACTGCTCGCTCTCGCGTCCCCGCGCAGCGTCCACGACAGCGCGCTGTGGGTCGGTATTTTTTTCACTATCCGCTAACACTGGCGACCCCGTTCGTATGAGACGTTCGCATGCCTCCTGTGTAGTTGTCACAACATGGCACAGCAGCAGCGCCTCCACCCCCAGCGACAGCGATGAAATTGTCAGCGTGCCTGGAAGATTTCCCGTCCGCAACGCTGTTTCCGACAGCTGCGCGTCTGCGGCGAACAGTTGTCCGATACAACTCAATAGCCGTCTTTGCTGCTGCTGCTGCTGCTGTGGTTCTTTCTGCTGCTGTTGCGGTATCATTCCATCGGTAAAATCAGGAAGTGATGGAAACAACATGAAAATGTTCTTGTAGTGCCTATCGTCGCTTACAACAACCGCGGCAGCTGCTGCGAAAAGGTGCCAAATGCGCACCAGCGGACCCGGCGTCATGCTGTTGCGCTGATGCTGCTGCTGTTTTTTTATCCATTTTGACACAGCCGTTTTATTCGCAGCACGTACCACTCCACTAACAAAATCACGGTACGCCTCGGAGACCACTTCGCCAGACGGTGGATCTGCCCCTAATTCCACGTGCAACTCCTGTGGCTCCCCTTTCGTCGATGAGGGTGCAAATACCAAACGAATTAGTGGCATGCTGCTCCAACAGGCTCGTTGTTCACTCTCTGCTTGCGCTGTAAAGCGCAAAGCTACAAGATGGTTAATAATAAATAGACCTCGCTCAACGGAGAAGGGCACTACTATGGGAAGGACGCCACGCATATCAAGGAAAGCCCGAACAGCAGGAAAGGAGCCACCCTCTAATCCCGTCAATCCTGTCATTTCATGAGCGGTAGCGTTTGTGTCAGAAACGCCCACATTCAACGCAGCGCAGAGTTGCATGAGAGCGGAGCTTACAACGCAATGACCGGGCCACGAAAGCGGCAATCCATATTGAAGCTGCGTGACACCATGGTCAATTCCCATCGCCACACGCTGAAACACCAGTGGTGGAGGATGGAGCGGCAGCGGTATGCGGGTCTCATTCTCCATCGCATCTGTGGCGATGAGAGTGAGGGACCGCCGCTTTTCCTTCATGAGGGCCACCACACGCGCCGAACTAGATTCTCTGCGAAACGGCTGCCACCACTTCCCACCCAGAGAGTCATCCAGCGAGCTGGATAGAAATGCCGAGAGGAAGGTGCCGCCCCAGTCTCGCCGTTGTGCGTCGCGTTGAACGCTACGCAGAAAATTCCATGCTTCTGTCTCTCTGCTCTGCAGTTCCTCCACAGCATACTCATCCAACTCCGCCAATGCGAGGGCAAAGCCTGTCTTGATCGCGTCACGCGGGCAATTGCCAGTGCCACGGCATATAGCAATGTCGCTGCTGACGCTGTTGAGCGTTCCTCTTGCTCTCATCTCTGCTGTCTCGGCATCAGTCAGTGGGAGCTCAGCGGTCACAGTCGTCATATATTGCGCCTCTGGAGAAGCAGCAGCAGAAGCAGCCCCGTCGGAGGCCCGAAGAAGGTGCACGACAGCCTTGGCGCTCATGCTGCACAGCGTTGCGTTGAACTCCACAAATATGTCCGAGTCCACAGCCTGCAGCATGTGACGCAGGTCTGTTGTGGAGTGCAGGAGAGAGAGAGCAGCGCCGTGCACTCGCTCTACAGCCTCCGCTGAACTCTCCGCGGTAGCAGACGCCAGACGCAGTGAACATGACGCACTCAGAGGATAGTAAACCGAACTTTCGAAATGACGATTGTTGAGGCGTGTAGTTCGAACATCAGCGTCAGCAAAGATGGCGTTGAAGCGCGCACTAAGATGACGACTTTGAGCAGCGAGGAGCTTTAGTTGACGGTTCCTGGCGATCCGCCCCGCTAATGGAATCTGCGCAGACATTCTAAAAAATAAATCACTTCCAAATACCCCCCTCCCCTGCCGCCCACACAACTCTCTGTGTTCTTGGGCGGGGGCCCCAAAAGTATCTCTTCCTTTAAATAGTGGTCAAGAAAGAGTATGAAAAGGTGCCAGGCATACAAGGCATTTAAGTTGTCGACAGCTACACCTACAACAGATGCATGATCCACACTCTCCTCATGGTGCTCTCACATCCGCTCACCTATAAACACAGCGAATCTGGAGAGAAGTGATATCTTTTTTTTTCTCTCGTGCACTCTTGCTCCACTGAAGAACTTCACAAAACTAGAGGAGGGACGATGAGCGGGTCGCAGCAAAACACTTCAGCAGCACGTAAACAACGGGATGCTCTTTGGGATCAATACATCTAAAAGAGAAACAGCAAAAAAAAGAAAAAAAAACATTTTCCCGTTCATTTTTTTTTCCTGTCTTGATTTGCACTACTGTAATTAGAAATTCGCTCTTCACACTTCGAGGAAAATATGGCGAAAATGTGACACACTTGGCGTTACGCACACTGCGAAAGGTCAACCTTGGCAATGCCCAGGTCCAGCTCTAGTGTGTCCTCCCTTGGGAAGTACACCACAGTAAGGGGGAGCCCATTTTGCACCAAGAGTTTCCCGAGGCAGTCATTGGGATCGGTTGCTCCCACAACGTCCATGTGGTTTGTGCGTTCATTGTATATGTATTTCTCGTCCTTGCAGTTGTACTTCTCACCAAAGGCGTCTAGCCAAATATCAAAGGTATCAGGGGTTTGGCCGGCGGTGATGCGCCCCTTGACGAGACCGAGGGAATACTCCCCACAGTAGACCCCTGCCGGGTGGCGGTTCACGCTAACCATACCAGTCGCACAGCTCGCGACGAGGATGGAAAGCAAAAAAAGAGTCGGGAGGAGTGAACGTGTCATACTTTGCTGTAGATGTATTCCCGGAGTATATGTGGTCAGAGCTGAATCCTTTACACATTTCACGGACCAAAACAAGAGAAGGGAAAAACAAAGCTAAGACATCAGCTACTCCAAGACATGGAACGAACACACTACAAGAACAAAATATAAGGTACATCATCATATCTTTTCTTCGCCCTTGATACTTGCGTGTATGCATAGAAGAGAGCGCGAGCCTACGCAGCTGTGTATGTACGTATGTATGCTTTCTGTTGCGCCGTGTCAGACCGCAAAGAAAGCCCGCTCCATTATGCGGACCTTCTCGACTAATGCGTCGTAGGCATCTAGTGCCTCCAACACAGACGATGATGACGACGACGACGAAAAACACGATGCGGAGGAGAAATGACGATCACGTTTCGGTCGCGTCTGCTCCCAAGAAACCGCAGGGCGTGCAGCGGGTTTATGCCGCTGGAGCAGCACATCCATGAGACGCCCGTACTGAAGTGCAATTCGCCTCCCTTCATCCAAGAGGTGCTGAATGACGAGCTCGTGAGCAGTCTGGCAGTTCTCCTGCATCTGACTGACCAAGGAAACCAGCCCTGGGATCGGATGGGACACACTCTCCAAGTGTCCTGTACCACCCTCCTTGTCATTTGTTACGGGCGCACAAGACACCAACTTCAGTTCGCGCACCTCCACTTCCAGTTTTTCTGCAAGACTGCATAGCCGTCTTACCAGTATACAGGATGTAATGCCGAGTTGGTGCAACCCCTCCTCAGCATCAGAGGCAGCATCAATTGCGGAAGAGGGCAAGAGATCAGCGGTACACGCCCGGACCCGGATTGACGGGTGGTGGGCGGCGCATTTTATCACATCCCGCTTTAATGCGTGAATCCGCGCAATAAATCCGGCGTTTTTTCTGTCACAGCTTTCCTCGACATAACACGCTGCATCGCCTATATATGGCGTAGGCTTATCGACAACCAACGTAAGATCTATACCGGGAAGACGAGTAGCTATCCGGTCATTGCCCCTCGTTCTATCTTCCTCGCGCCACATCGGAGGATGATCCGGTTGAATACATGATGGTGATTGCGATTTAAAAACTTTTGCTCCTGTGTGGGGCAACTCGCATCTCGAGGTGAGTTCTTCACCTTGAGTGCGTTTTTTCACTTCCGTAGCCAAATCTCGAATGATGGCTTGCAAGGAAAACGATATTGGGGGGTATCCAATGTCATCGGTCCCCCCTATTATTGAAGAAATGTCATTTGATTTTTCATCAGAGGGCTGAATATTTTTAAAAAACGTACAAATCATCGGTCTAATTTTAGGTGAAGCTGAGGAAGGCACATAATTGAATGGGCGCACCCTGTTGATGAGTCGCCGCAGACGTCGTTTATCAGAAGCGTTGTCTAGTTGGGACGGAGGAGGCACAATAAACGGTGGATTTTCACCACCACATATACGCTCTACTGCCTTTTGTTCCTCAAGTGTAAGTTCAGCCAGCGTAATAAAGCCAATTGGGAGAGGTACTGAATCATCCTCTTCAGCAAAGTACAAAAAATTGTTTTTCTGTGATATCTCCGTAGAACCGATAAGCTTCCTTAACTCTTCACGGAAGCATACCAGTTTCTCAAGCAGTACATGTGAATCAACCACAACATATTGAGGGATGGAAGGTATTACTGTCAATTTGTCTATCCATTTAGCGGAGAAAGGCATGTTATTCAATTTCTTTCTGACATCTGAATTCTTCGCAGCTGTGGTATCAGTAGCACCATCATGTACAATACCTGAACTGAATGCAGGTGAACGTGGAGCATAAACGAGTGATTTAGGGCTATTTATGGCATCATGCATTGGGGGATTAAGAACTCCAGCAGTCAGGCTTCGTCCCTGGTGAGATTTCAATTCTGCCAACTGTGCTCGCAACGTCTGAACCTCGGCAGTTAAAGCTTTTTGAGACTCGAGTAGCTGAATTATGAGACCCTCATTGTCCTTTGCCTTCATTATGGCATCCGGAGAATCCTCATTACACATATGCAGAGGCAGCGCATCATCGCTCTGCAGAATGGTAATGCTCCCGGTAGCCTTGGAACTGATCCACGTCTTACTGCAAACCATTTGTGTTGCCGTCTCCGCAATGTCAAAAGTAATCTGTTTCTCTTTGCTTAATCGACAGTGTATCTCCAATTCGAAGGAAGTAGGATTCCACACGTAGAGCTGCCCTGCTGACACAGACCAAACTTTCGCTCCCACAGCTCTCAAAGTTGTCACAGGACCTTCATGGGGATTTGTGATCATGTGAATGCACTCTGGGGGTACACCCCGCACGTTGGACAAACTCCACACGCACACTGTGCCGTCCGCAGAGCCGCTCCAAAGTCGACCATTATAAACTGTTTGTGTCAGAACCGAGGCAGAGTGCGCCTTTAAAACATGTGAACGTTTTTTGTTCTCGGTATCCCATTCGATGATACGGGAGTCGTCCCCACCGGAGAAAAGGCTCCTGTGATAAAACTTCAAAGAGCGCACGGCACCACCACACTCGCCCAGAGTTCGAACACCTTCAGTAGCAAAAAACAAGGTGCTCCAATAGCGTATTCGGCAGTCGACTGAAGAAGAATACACAGTATCACAGTCTGAAGTAACAGCAATATCTGTAATATAGTCATTGTGTAATTTTGTTTCCTTGATGAGGTTCATACTCAACGCATTATAAACGCGCAGAACCCCATCGGTATACCCCATCCACACAATACCACGAGCAGTGCGCATTACAGTAACAGGTACATCCCTGGATTTTGAAAGAACAGTGATGATACGTCCTGTACCCGCTTCCAACAGACTCACCTTGCCTGATGCCTCGCCAACCCACATCGTCGAATTGACCACACATAAACAACTAGCTTCGCCACTCAATTGAACGTGGCCAACTTTAGCTACGCATGAGCCATTTCCCGACTGTGAAGTCTCCGTAGTATCAATTGCGATGTATGATCCCGCTGCCTCATGCACAGCTAGACCCCCTCTCGCCATGAGTTGTCTGTCCATCTCAACCCAGCACGCCAGTCTAAGAGTAAGAAAAATAGGAAATACGAAGAAATATGTATTTATTTACATTTGACAAGAGATATAAACAGCCAATATGCCAGAAAAAATTTAACAACTTTGTTGTCAAAGAACAAAAACCATTCTTCAGCAAACAGAAAATAAAAAGAACGTCACTGTCAATAATTTTACAAAGTCTCTACTACAGTTGAAAGAAACGGTCACAGACACAACAATGTGGACCTCACTGTGGCAGCCATGCTTTTTGCTCCTTAGTCCCATATGGACAGACATCTCAATGCGACACAACACTCTGCAGCATCCTGTGAATGGTGCCGATTCTCCATGGTTTGCTCTTCGTGTCCCATAAACGTTTAAAAAAGGTCTCAGCCGTACACAGCAGCTACGTCCAATACAACAAAAAAAAACTCCAATATAAAGGTTTCTCTTATCATTCACACAAATTTGTAGTTCGGCATGCATCCTGTTAATAGCATTTGTTTTCTTTCTTCCCGTATTGGTGTTGGGCCCAACATTGGCTTTTCCATCTTAGGCCTTGAGCAGAATTGGTATATGTCTCCCTCAACCAACACGTCGGGAGTGACATCCCAGTTAATTCAACTATTTATTGTCTCCATACCTGGGCAAACGGAAGATGAAACAAACAAATAGCCTTCTAGCTCTGCAATTAACGCATTCATAGCCCATTGAAACGAACAGCATCGGTAGGGGCTTCTCGTGCCCCAGCATAGAAAAAAAAGGATTTATGCCCTCCTCCATGACTCCCTTTCTCAGCCTCAAAGAATGAAGGAGTTCCACCTATAGTCTCAGGCACCGCACTACCCATCCCTACAAATACTAAAACCAGTAAAAAGAAAAAACAGCTGTCACTCCCAGGCTCCTTTTTAGAAACAAAGTTCCTTGTTGTGGTTATTTTATTCGTTTTGGCTCTTTATGTGGGAGTACGCTCACAGCTTTCAAGAAAGCAGATCGGCAATGACTCACCCTTCCCAGTCTTGAAGTAAGCAGTCCGAAGCACACCATTTGGTGAAGGTGGAACGCAAGAAGGCGGCGACCGCCCCTCATTACACACTTCACGATGGGGTGACAACAACGGTGAACGGCCAAATCGCCCAAAAGGCCGAAGCCGTACTAATGTGGCCCCGTTTGTCTGGATTGCCGCATTCAAATGCTCTACAGTTAGAGACTTTCCTTCTTCGAGTTCCGACACATCGAAGAGGTCAGAGGTCATGATATTGTGCTCTCCAGCTTGCGTTGCTTTTGCAAAAGTGCACTCTACATTCGTTTCCCCACCGTCAGGCCACCCTAGATGTGGTTCCGAATAGTTTGATGGCTCAGAGGCAGACGGTGGGCCCGCTGCCGCTCCACCGTATGTTGAAGAAAATGGTCGCTGATGAAAGTACAATTCCGTTTTGAACAAAATTGGATGCCGATATTCCACCGCATCGCAGCTTAAGGGCTTCATTCATACATTCAACCCAAAACTATTGGCAAGCAAAGCAACGAGAGCAAAGCTCCAACACCAAAGATCAAAAACAAGACACCCACCCACAACACACAAGACAAACACACCCCACAGAGCAACAGCCCCCGCAACCTTCCAAGCTAAGAAAAACTTTGCCCTCGAGAACCCCCGGGCCACCGACACACCACGAGCGGGGCGACACA